AGGAAAACCAGGTAAAACGGTGCTAGTTGTGAAATAGTTATAGAATGGTCAATGTCCGCACAATATATATGTCTATTGTTTCTCTTGGTGACAGATTTTGAGTTGCTGTTATAACCATCGCAATCACCTAATGCGCCACAACAATTAAAGTAATAAAAATACAAAATAGTCATATTACTTAATTCCCAACGAGCAAAAGAACGGTTGCATACTGCTCGGGGAGTCTACAGGGTACGAGCAGATGAAATCAATTGATATTGTTAGGCGTGGCTAGCGCCATGAGGTCTGGACGCCGGCACAGCGCGCCTCCGTCCGACTCGCACACGCACCACGTCCTTGACGCTGTGACCGCCGCTCCTCGCGTCCGGATGGCCACGTAGCCTGCCCCGTCTGTCTCGCCCCCTCCTCGCACACGCACCCTGCTCCCATCACTGCGCCCCGCTCCTTCCCCTTGACCCCCTCCTCTCTCTCCGCGTGGGCGGGACCCGAGAGTCAGCCCCTAGCTTGTTGCGCCCCGTCCGTTGGCCCTAGCTCGCTGCGGCCCCATCCCCCGGTGCTAGGGCCGTGCGTCCATCACTCATCGTGTACCCACGAAACATTTGCAACATAAAACATTTGGATGCAACATACGTCTGACGCAGATGAAACATTTGAAACATATTGTTGCAACATATGTGTGAAACATATGCAACATTCAGATAAAACAATTGTAACATGTGTGTGAAACATATGCAACATCCAGATAAAACACTTGCTCTAATGTATGTCTGAAACAAAGTCGGATGGAGAAATGACCAAAATTTAAGTTGTATATGTCGATGTGTTCTACAACTTTGTTGTTGATGATTTTTTCATTTAAAATTATTTAATATTCTAAAATATTGTTCGAAGTTTTCATATTTTAAAATTTAAATTTTAAATTATTTAAATAAAGTCAGATGAAGAAATGACCAAAACAAAAGTTGTAGATCTTGATCATTTATACAACTTTGTTGTTGATGACTTTTCATTTAATGAGATGAGTGTTGCTGCTGTTTCTGATATACATGCACCAGGTGATTTGCTGATGTTAGAAGCTTCTCTCGTCTGCACTTCCGTGAACAGAACACAACAATTTTTTTGTTCGTTTGTCACAGCTGCCTTTGATCTAAGGTTGCAGATTCAGATTACATTTGGAGTTTTTCCATAGGCTAGTGCACCACCTACAGAGACAGTACAAGCCAGGCTTGGTCCTGGTCGGCTGTAGCCTTTCCTGGCCAGCTGAGATACAGCTGTTCGTGGTCGGGCGTCGTATGGCTGGTCATTGTTTGTTATTTTAACTAGCTCTTACGTTGCAACAGGATAAAATAAGGTATTAAATATATATACGGAAAATGAGAACATAAATGCTATATTTTATCCTTTTATGAAATTGGTCATCTATAATCTAAGTTAATATTGACAATAACATAACAATGTCCTATCAAGTTTATATCAAATCGATACAACTTTGCTAGATTTTTTCTCCCGTACAAAACACAAAAATATTTACTTCCTATCGAGGCATCCTATCGAGGCATGACATGAGATCTAAGATAGATGGAAACGACTCACGACCAACCACGCAGTTGCTACATTTACGCAGTGATGTGAAAGCGATGGCTAGCAGCCTTCGGCGCTGTACTTCACGGTGCTTACAACAAGCGCGCTGCTTGGAGCCGTCATCCAGCTCTGTGTGTCACACACCCACGTCCTTCACTACCGGGAGAGGAGAAAATGGGGTAGCTGGTTGTGCTAGCGGTCCTCTCCGCACCCGTTTGCTCCGGCATTCCAATATGAGATTGTGGTGGGCGCCCACTCCGTGCCGGCGAGTGGGTTGGCGGCCTCAACGTAGGATCCCGGTGAGCATGGATGCCGAGCCTTAAAACAACGCATAGACGTCGCTCTTCACTCGGTCGTCAGTTGTCGCCGTTCATCGGTCGTCGGTATTTAGTCTTCACATAGATGTCACTCTTCACTCATCGCTCCGCCATCACATGACCAGGCTTTCCGTGGCGGGAGTCCTCGCCAAGATGGGCATCTGGCACGGTGACGCTGACGCCCTTGTTCGGCTTGCGGATGAGCAGATCACGGAGATCAGGTCACGTACCAGCATGACGTCGGAGTTCATGGGACACCCGACGCTGTACACCATCCTCCGGGCCTTTTGTTGATCAACTCAAACACGTCCACCCAACATCGGCAAGGCTCGTAGAACCTGCCATCCGTGAGCTAGATACACGACGTGAAATCGCCAGCGACCTGCACGTTCTTGTACAGCTGCACCCGACATCCGCGGCGCCGTTTGAAGAACGTGCCCATGCGTTGCTGTGGGATGGAAATTGAGAACCAAAATTATACATATTTACGTTTCACTCTTTCTATAAAATGTTAAAGCTATAATTTATTAATTTTATGATAATTATGACATTCATAATATAAGCTAATTTTATATCATCACTTTTATATTACATTGGCACGTGCATATTAGACACATTTATTTACACTGATATCGACAACAAATTGCTAGGGATTAGTTGGATCATCGGCTAAATCACACTATAATAAGATAAGTTTTTTTTCTAATCAAAATTGCATCAATAACTTTAGTGGTGTAAATCTGTATTTTTAAGGAAGAGATGAATTTCAACTTATATATATTGTTTGTTTTTAATATTTATATATGTTAAAAAGAAAAAAGGGACGGAAAAAGTCAGAAGTTAACGACAGATGCTCAGATATGGGAAAAGAGGACCGTGAAAAAAGGAAGCCAATCGGATATGATAAAGCGGACAAAAAAAAAGATAAATACAAAGAAACTTCTCACGCTAATAAGAAAACCAGAAAAACAAAAATAAAAGGGACCAAAACCCAAAACTCTTCGTGGTTTGGTATTATGATAAGCTTTGTCTGATTTCTATTTTTATTCTTTTCTATTTGAATTAGGATCCCTATTCATGTTGCTTAGGATATTACGAGCAACAATCAATCATATTTGGATTACGATTTCAACTATCTAATATTATCTTAAGAACTCGTGTTGGCTTAGGATTTTGATTCGTACCTATCCAGGTTACCTCAAGAAGGCCTATGTATGTTATTATATATATAAAACATGAGAGTCGTAGAGAGACGAATAGAAATAGTTTTTACATTTACGGAGTTAGTTAAAGAAGGCCAAACCAAAAAAAAAATGGGTACAAAAAAATGGAGAAAATTTTGCCTCTTTATTATTAGGTATAGATATAGATATAGATATAGATATAGATATAGATATAGATATAGATATAGATATAGATATGGGTCATTATTGAAATACGGGCTGATTTAATTATGTATTTGAACCGTTGATTTAGTATATTGATCTTCCATTATGTGATTTAAATATGCTGAGTTAATTTTTAATTGTATGTGCTCGGCTGTTTGTGGGCTGGTCCAGGCAAATTCGGTATGGGCCAGCTCAGACAAAAAGAAATACACGTGGGCTAGCCCAACAAAATTTGCTTTGGGCTGAAAAAAATTGTGTGCTGGACTGGAAAAAATGTGTGGGCTCATAGCAAAAAAAAAGGGCTGAAAAAAGAATCTGCACACTAAAAATAGGCCAGAAAAATGTCGTGTGGGCTGAACCTCACTTGACTTAAATGGGCTGCAAATAAAAATATTAAAAACTAAATGGGTCAAAAAGTACAAAACAAGTGGGCTGCATACACATGGCGGTATTCTGTTTAATATGCTGTGACGGTTTTAGTCATGTCACAAGTTAGTGACAGAAGAACTATTATCGCTGTATCAATGATAGTCCTCTGGTGGTGACAGAAGCTGGTGAGTGCCCCACCTTCTGTGACGACAATCAGTTCATCACTGCAGATAGTCAGTGACAAGAAACAGGTTGTTATCGTCGTAATCTAATTGTCACAGGAGCCTATATTTCTTATTGTGGAACGAGGTGCAGGTGGGACACGCGACGGGCGGGAGAGAGGAGCGAGGAGCAAACGGCGCAGGTGGGGCGGACGACGAGCGGGAGCGAGGAGCGAGCGGCGTGGCCGCGCGGTGGGAGAAGGCCGCAACACCGTGCGGAGTGAGGTGCGGTGTCCGAATGGGACGGACGCTCATGGCAAAGCATTACCGATATTGTATGATTTTTTTAGAGAGCAATGTATGATTTTTTTTTATTTTAACCCTTTTATTTAAAACTCGTTCAAGAAACTGCTTATACAGGTTTGTAATGTGCAAAATTGGCATTGTTTCTAGGAACGGTAGAGTCGTAGACAAGAGCAGCGGATCAAGTGCGCATGCCTGCTGCTAGCAAGTAGCAAGGCCGCATTCCCCGACCGGCTCGCCAACAGATCGAGCTCGTGTTGTGTGTACGGCTGTACGCAAGCGCTACCCCACCCGCACCCATGAGGCCACAACCGAAATTCCATCCAAGAAGCGCACGCACGCGCTTTGCATGTCTTGCCAACGGCGCACACCATCGGCCGGGCTCCCTTTTCGTTTCGTATCCCCGTCTCCCCTCAGGCAACGCAAAGATCGACGGAGCTGGCGCAGCGTTGCTGCCCTCCCCTCATGCGCGCGGCGTTATTTGCTTCTCCCCACGGCGGCAGAAAGATGGCCTGGCCGGGACTTGTTTGCTCGCCGCGCCCACGAGCTTACTTATTAAAACCTGCGTCTGCGTGCTCCCCCACTCCGTTGTTGGCAGCCCAAAACCTGCGTGCGTGCTCCCCCACTCCGTTTCTCAGGCTTTGCCGGTCACTGGCTTGGCTTGGCCTCATCGTCTCGTTGCTATAGCCCAGGTGAAAGTTGACACGCTTGTACTGCACTTCGTTAGCAGGCAGGAAGTAGCAGCTTCATCTTAACACCCACCCACCTACTACCCTGCTGCAACGGCGGGGGCGCGCGCGCGAGAGAGCGTGCGTTTGTTTACCCTTTTGCACCACCTAGCCTGCACCTGCATTTCTTTGGCGGCCGCGCGCGCGCGGGCCATGGGGAGTTCATGCGTGAACCTCTCCCGCGCCGTCCTCCCCGGCTTCGGCGCCGCCGCCGCCGCCAAGGGAGGAAGCCGACGCCGTGGCCTCCTTCTTCCGTTGATGTCATCGGGGCGGCGGCACGGCGGTGCCGCGGTGGTGGCGTGCTGTACTTCGTCGTCCTCCACTACTGCTGCCGGCTCATCGTCAAGGCCGCCGTCGTCGTCCTTCCCGGCGCACGACGGGCTCGGTGGCGGCGATCCGCCAGGAGCCGCCGGCGGGATTGGTGTTGCCGAGTTTCTCGGCGGCAAGAACTTCCTCATCACCGGCGGCACCGGTTTCCTGGCAAAAGGTGATAGGTGCTTCGTTTTGCATTATCCCGCCCCCCCTCTGTGTGCTTTGGATAAAACCCCAAATAATTCTAGTCCTGTGCTGTTCTGCCACAGTTCTTATCGAGAAGATCTTGAGGACAAATCCTGACGTTGGCAAGATATACGTGCTCATCAAGGCCAAGGACAGCGAAGCAGCGTTGAGGAGATTGCAAAATGAGGTGTGTGTGTGTGTGTGTGTGCATGGCGTTCATTTGCTATATACACTTGTTCTTTCTTTCTTCATACCCTACTAGCTACTAGTGCCCCATTCGCTGTCGTTCATCCATACGTGTGTGTCTGCAGGTCGTAGACACGGAGCTGTTCAAATGCCTGCAGGAGATCCACGGGGAAGGCTACGACAGCTTCATCGCAACAAAGCTGGTCCCCGTCGTCGGCGACGTCAGGGAAGCCAACGTCGGCATTGCGCCCGACCTCGCCGACGAGATCGCCGACCAAGTGGACGTCATCATCAACTCGGCGGCCAACACCACGTTCGACGAGCGGTTCGTGATCGGTGCTATATATACAGTATAGTATATATTGCTCCAAAACTTGTTCGTTCTTCAGTGATCCATCGCCATGACCATCCACTGTCGATTGCTGGTCGCAGGTACGATGTCGCCATGGAAATCAACACCGTGGGGCCGTTCCGGATCATGAGCTTCGCGCAGCAGTTCCGGCAGCTCAAGCTCTTCTTGCAAGTGTCTACAGGTAGGTCTTGAAACTGGAGCTTGTGTTTTCCACTCCCCAAATCAAGCTCTCGATCAGCACTTTGCTTGTGTGTTTGGCGAGCAGCCTATGTGAATGGGCAGAGGCAAGGCCTGGTGCTGGAGAACCCGTTTCGCATGGGAGACACCATAGCCAAAGAGCTGGGTTCCTCATCAGGTTCTGAAGAAGAAGGGTATAAGATCCCCGTGCTGGACATCGAGGCAGAGATCAAGCTGGCCTTCTCCTCCAGAAGACACTCCGATGATTCTCCATCGTTTGCTCAAGAAATGAAAGATTTGGGCCTAGAGGGTAAATAAATAAGCATATACTATGTGCTACTAGTATAATGCAACTGCAGCAAACGAAGTAGAATGAAGTATAGCTTGATAAGGCGACGATATTTAATTTGGGTTGTGATTGCAAATTGCATTGCTAGGGCAAAACTCCATGGGTGGCAAGACACCTATGTGTTCACCAAGGCCATGGGAGAGATGGTCATCAACTCCATGCGAGGAGAGATACCAGTGGTCACCATCAGGCCCAGCGTCATCGAGAGCACCTGGAGGGACCCATTCCCGGGCTGGATGGAAGGGAACAGGTACCAGTATATACATGTGTATCTTCAGTGATCAAACCTTCAGGTAATGATACTGATCTCTCTTGACATCGGCAAAACTGTCGATGAACACAGGATGATGGATCCTGTGATCCTCTACTACGGGAAAGGCCAGCTGAGCGGGTTCCTCGCCGACCCAGATGGTGTTCTTGATGTGGTAATGATAAGCTGCAGCTAAGCTGTTGATGAGTTGTATAAACGTTCAACACGTAATGGTCCATGCAATATCTGTCAGTAATGCCCATCTGCTGCTAAGCCAGGTCCCGGCGGACATGGTGGTGAACGCGACGCTGGCGTCGATGGCGAAGCACGGCGGCGGCGCGGCGTCGGGCCCCGGGATGCACGTGTACCACGTGTCGTCGTCGACGGTGAATCCGCTGGTGTTCGGCGACCTGAGCCGGTTCCTGTTCCACCACTTCACACGGTGCCCCTACAGCGACGCGGCGGGGCAGCCCATTCTGGTGCCGCCCATGCGCCTGTTCGACACCATGGAGCAGTTCGCCAGCTACGTGGAGACGGACGCGCTGCTGCGGAGCGTCCGGGCGTCCTCGTCCTCGTCGCCGGCGCTGGCGCAGCGTGCGCGCGACCTGTGCGCCAGGTCCGTGGAGCAGACCGTCCACCTGGGCAGCATCTACCAGCCCTACACCTTCTACGGCGGCCGCTTCGACAACGGCAACACGGAGGCGCTGTTCGCGGCCATGTCGCCGGCGGAGAGGGCGCGGTTCCACTTCGACGTCCGGAGCGTCGACTGGAGGGACTACATCACCAACGTCCACATCCCGGGCCTCCGGAAGCACGTCATGAAGGGCAGGGGCGTCGCCGCCAACCAGCTGCTCGCCAGCACCTCCGTGTGAGTGTGACCGTCGGCCGGCCGGCCGGCAAAAGGAACGCGCGACGGCGGGCGTGTACAGTTTCTGCCAGGCCTAGACTGTTGCTGTTGCTATATGCCATGCCGTTGCCGCCACCACACCACGGCCGATGACCGACGACGACCAATCTTGCCGCTCCATTTCCACAATACGTAGCAGCAATCTAAGGTTGACTTGGGTACGCCATGCTTGCATCGCATTACCGATAGATATACGAGATCGTTCTCATCTCTCCGTGTTGAGCTGTTGATTCTTGTACTCTCGTGTAGTCAAAACAAAAATGAAGGCTGTGATCATCAGTGACCGAAATTCATCAAGGATGCACTCTTGCACATATGACACACGAAACACTAGCAATCGAACATGGTGCTGTCTGCTAGTGCCATTCTTAACACTGTAAGCCATTCTTTACCAAAATTTAATTACTGATGAAAAGGTGTTTAACAGTGCCTTGCCATTGATGAATGATGATACAAATTAGTACACGCCTATTGGTACAAGCTTACGCTACACAAGTACAAATGGAAGTTCAGTCTTTTATGCCAATTCCACGCCTCTGTAAAAAGTGCATAAAAGTGAGGGCGGCGAGAGTTGTAAGTGGATGGCCGCCCTTCTATATCACCTGAAAGGCTAAAACTCGGGCATGGCTTGGCACAATTGCTTTCTCAGCTCAGGATTGCAGCATCTCTTGCACTGACCAATGGCAATGGGGGCCTCAAGTTTTGCATAGTGCTTTGGTATTCCCCTGTTATTTCTGTGTGACCCTTGATCCAGCAGATGTTGACATAGACTATCACGGCACAAGCTGGGAAAAGGTAACATCGACAGCTCAAAGGAAATAATCCGGTGTTCTTCGCGTCACGTCTGGCTCACCTCTCCTAGGGGCTGGTTCAAACTATGATAATAGGAAACCAAAATTGGTAAATCGTACAAAGCAGTTTAGACACACATCATAAGATGATATGAAGTCTATTTGGGGAGAAAAAAACATATGGATGCCTTTTCAGGAAAAAAAACATCTACATGCTGATAGTACATTCATATCAGGGTGATGCCACAAAAATGAGCCAAATAAAACGGAAAAGTAGCAGAGTTATGTCGTAAAATTACCTGGATGAATGTGTGACTGTTGCAGTCGTCAACTTCCAAAATGGATGCCATATTGCCGCATCGATAGCAATAGTTTGGAGCACTGAATATGGTGACAACCTTTTGTTCCTGTAAATTCATGCATCATGCATGATCAGAAAGATTACTTCACTCAAAACTCAGCTCATTAAGCATTCCAAGGTCAAATCAGCTTACATGAGCCCAGTTATATCCCTCCATGACTAATTGATGAGCCCGAGCTACAAGTTTGAGATTGTTCGTGTGATTAAACTGCTCCGATATGTCCTGGAGAAACAAGGAATAAATGAATAGTAACTTCGAATTAAAAAGGTATAAAAGTGGTAACATGAAAACAGATGTGTAGTACCTGGCCAAAAGTGTAGCCAGCACCACGAGGATATGCCCCAACCACATCGATCGTCTGGATCTGACCATAAAGATCGCATTATAGGTCCCTCATGAGGAACCTCTTGGACTCGATCTAAGCTGCGCACACTATCAAGATTTTCAATTGATGGAGATAAACCACCATGAAGGCAGAAAATCTCAGATTCCACCTTCAAGAAGAACATAAATACTGTATCAGTAGAGTCCATGGATGGACAGACAGTGCCATGATGTTGAGAAAACACAAGGGATATAGCTACTTTATGGTATAGTACTATGGTGGTAGAGACAGAACTACAGAATTCTTTGAATGTATGATCATGATTTATCATCGTGTCAAATATTTGAACAATTAATTCATATACAATTTGATAAGTAAAGATTTCAAGAGAGGGCAACATATTCGCGACGGAGACAAACCATAACATCACCATTCGCCAGCCTCTATTCCATAGAACAGTCAACCACAACAACACAGATTACTGACTCTTCAACCAAGAGTAAACAACATAGCAAGTATAAAAAAACAAACTGAGAAAGTGAGAAGCAACATAGCACAGCATAGTTGCCACCATATCACAACCATTTGATTCTACAGCTGCTGGAATTGACAAACAAATGAATACAATTGATGTTCAAGAGGGTGTTCCAAATAATTGGAACATCTGAATACAGAATACAGACTGGTTCTCAGTTTCTAACACGCTCTAACAGGTTAAAAGAAGTTGGTCATAACCCATAAATATACTGCCGGATGAAGAATCTAAAATTGGTGAAGCTAAAAAAGAACGGCCAGATTCTAGCTACTAAGCTATTTGTGGTTCTAGCTACTACGCCATTTTAGCGTTTTAAGATTCACATGCTGCGTATTGAGAAGATGGTGCATAGAAGAGACGCTCCAGATACAACTGAAAATAGGTGATTCCAGTGTTGAGAGTACACACCAGAGCTGTCAGAGGAAAATAGTCAAAAAGATCCGTAAATGTCTTCCATACATTTGCATTGCCATACCTGGTTTAAAATAAAGCAGTTAGCAACAGAAATGACAAGAAGCTAGGATTATATTGTGGACTTTAGGAAAAACCATTACCATTCTTACAATCAACTTACATCTTACATGAACCAATGAGTTTATATAAGATAACAAACAATATGATCATTGAACTTTCATACCAGCTCCTAAGCATAGTGATGGTGCACCATCAGACGAAAGCTATACACAATGAAAAAGAAGTATCTAGCAGTACAAAGAAGTCTATTAATGCAGTAATAGAAAAGGCACAAAATGCCAAAGATATTTTGCATATGTGAAAAAAATTGGGATGACTATACCAAACTAAATCTGAAGCTAACACACAACTGTGATTAAGAAAAAAGATTAAACATAGATCTCACACAGGTAAAGTTACAGTATGTGCTATGTAGGAACATGGTACGCCTGGAAATGTAAGTTGAACTTTAAGCACCTAAACAAACTCACTTTCGTAGGCATTCGTCGTAGAATCCATACACCTGTGTGATCTGCAACCATAAAATAAGAGTTTCAGTTTGAACCAGAAAACACAAAAAAAAATGATCATTAATAGGGATGGAACTCCGCCTATGTTGTCTCAACATAGCAGGTCCCAAGCCCTGGTAAAGGAGGAGGATTGTGATAGGCATGGCGAGTCAACGTTAAATCTAGCCATTCTAATGGAGATGAAACCCGAAAGAAAACCGTTGGGGCGTAACCCTCTTAGCGACGCGCCATATCGGAACCCGGGTATGGTGTTAAATGAGCAAGGGCCGGGTCGTCACCCCCGTGACACGCCGTGTCGCGATCTGGGCACGGTGTCAAGTGAACAAGGATCGGGTCGTCGCATCCTTAGTGGCGCGCTACATCGGCGCCCGGGTGTAGTGAAAAATGAGCAAGGGTCTTCACATCTGAGTCGACGGGTGCGAAGGGTAAGGAAGCTAGTCGAACCAACTAGGATCCGTTTAGGTAGTTGGAATGTAGGGTCGCTTACAGGTAAGTTAAGAGAATTAGTTGATACCGCGACTAGGAGGCGTGTAAATATATTATGCGTTCAAGAGACTAAATGGAAGGGTCAGAAGGCGAAGGAGGTGGACAATACAGGTTTCAAGCTTTGGTACACAAGGACAGTTGCGAATAGAAATGGAGTAGAGTTTTGATTGATAAGAGCCTCAAGAATAATGTGGTGGGAGTGAGAAGGCAAGGAGATAGGATTATCTTAGTCAAGCTTGTCATTGGTGATATGGTCTTGAACATAATTAGTGCGTATGCCCCCCAAGTAGGCCTCGACGAGAGTGCTAAGAGACAGTTCTGGGAAGACTTACATGGTCTGATTAGAGCTGTACCTAGTAGTGAGAAGCTTTTTATAGGAGATCTTAATGGGTATGTAGGTACTACAAGCGCAGGTTTCGAGGCAGTTCATGGAGGTTTTGGGTATGGTAGTAGGAATCAGGAGGGGGAGGACGTTCTGGACTTCGCGGTAGCTTTTGACCTGATGATAGCCAACACTTTCTTTAGAAAGAGAGAATCTCATCTAGTGACCTTCAGTAGCGGACAACACTCTAGCCAGATTGACTTTGTCCTCACAAGAAGAAAGGACAAACGAGCATGCTTGGGGTTGCAAGGTGATACCAGGGGGGGTGTTGTTTCTCAACATAAACTTTTGGTGGCAGACTTTCGTTTTCAGGTGCGTGCCCGTAGGGATAAACAAGCTAAGATTAAAAGAACAAAGTGGTGGAAACTGAAAGGGGAGACGTCAGAGGTATTCAGGGAAAGAGTTATCAAAGAGGGCTCTTGGAAGGAAGAAGAGGACATAAACAACATGTGGGAGAAGATGGCAACCAACATTCGGAAGGTGGTCTCAGAGGTGTGTGGAGTAACCAAAGGAAGTGGAGGCGAGGCTAAACATACTTGGTGGTGGAACGAGGAAGTCCAAAGGGCTATTAAGGAGAAGAAAGAATGCTATAGACGCTTGTACCATGACAAGAGTGTGGACAACATAGAGAAGTACAAGGTGGCAAAGACTGCAAAGCGAGCTGTAAGTATGGCAAAGGGTAGAGTGTACGTGGATCTTTACCAACATTTGAGTACGAAGGAAGGAGAGGACATTTATAGGATGGCTAGAGTTCGTGAGAGAAAGACAAGGGACTTCAACCAAGTTAAGTGCATTAAGGATGAAAGGGAGAATCTCTTGGTGAAGGAGGATGAGATCCGACATCGATGGCAAGAGTATTTTGACAAATTGTTCAATGGTGACAATACGAACACAACCTTTCAGTTGGATGACTCTTTTGATGACACCAATAGGCGCTTTGTGCGGAGAATCCAAGAATCTGAGTTCAGAGAGGCATTGAAAAGGATGAAAGGAGGTAAAGCGATGGGACCTGATGGTATCCCAATCGAGGTGTGGAGATGCCTCGGGGACATAGCTATAGTATGGCTAACCAAACTGTTCAACCATATTTTTTGATCGAAC